GCAGTATGTTTTAAATCGTTTAATCTGAATTGGGTGATGATGACCTAACCGCTACATATTCTATCGTATTAAAGTTAGCTTAGCAGTAAGATGGAAATGTGTAGAGTTGCTCTGTTGCTAGCTTATCAAGAAATGTCAACCAGCAGCACGCTGCTTTGTGATGTCTGTGTAAGTTAAATGATTAAAGCAGACGAAACCTTTAAGCGAGCTGGAAACATCTCATGTTTCTGTGATCATCAACATTAAGCTAGTTTCTTAAATAGTTTTATGCGTAGCTCATTTATTCGCTCATTGTTGCTCTGTTTTTTCTAAGTTCAAGTAAATGGTTATTATGGTTGGTAGAATGTATTTTATTTTTTTTTTCATTTCAGGACGTGGTGGTTCATCTGGTGCAAAGTTCCGTATCTCACTGGGTCTCCCAGTGGGAGCGGTCATCAACTGTGCAGACAACACAGGTATGTAGAAATAAAACCAAAATCAGTTAAGCACCTAGTGATACTTTCAAGCACTAAATGTTGTTTAAATCAGCTTTTGAAGCTTAATGTATTGACAGGTTTGAAGGGATAAATATGTTTGTGGATGTGAATTCCTAAAAAAGTTTAAAGCTAAAAAAATGTCTTGAATTAATAAATATTGTGATCTTCAAGTGTTGCTCTCAGGATGGGCATCGGTTGATGAAAACTTTGAGGCTGAAACTTTACATAAAATTGATCTTCACTATAAAATTAAATAAGGTTTTCCTTAAGCAAATTGTAACAAATTCAGGCTTTCCTCTAATATCTTTTAGATTTTCCACACTTCCAGGAATCTCTATGGTCCAAAACACTTTGGACTCCCAGTCTAGAAGGCATAATCTGCTGACAAAGATTTAAAAAACTCTCTGCAGCTTTCAAAAATTTGAACTCTCAATTTGAGAACATTTGGCTGGTTTTGCAACATGAAGCTGTTTTCTGACCGTCACTGATGGAAACGATAAGTAGTAAAAGGTTTCCCTTCTAAAAGCACTTGCTCTGTCTGTCTGGTGGCTGGGTGAGTTGTCGTAGAAGGGAATAGTAAAATCATCACTGTGGGTGAGACGGCGGCGTCTGCTGTGGCTGACTGATCTCAATCAGGGATGAGACAATCAAATATCAGGAGGTGCTGTTTCTAATATCCTCTTATCTCCAATAATTTTTTTTTTTATCTCAATCTGTCCCACAGGCGCCAAAAACTTGTACATAATCTCTGTGAAGGGCATCAAGGGGCGTCTGAACCGTCTGCCAGCTGCAGGAGTCGGTGACATGGTCATGGCTACAGTCAAGAAAGGCAAGCCAGAGCTCAGGAAGAAGGGTAAGGGATTGACCGATGACGGCGCATCTTTGCCAGGGACAAATAAGGCTTTTTTATTGTGATGTTTATTTTTCAGTTTCACTGGTCGAATGGGCTCTATCAAGAGAACTCAAAGATAAATGAACCAATGATATGTTTTAGAGAAGTTCTATTGTCAGGCTTTTATACTGAAATGTGTTCATTCATAGACCTAAAAGAATCCAGGCCCCCCGTAAATAAAATGCTTTTCTAGATCATGTTTATTTTTACAGATAAATCTTTTTTTTTTTTTTTTTTTTTTTTTAAGGAAAAGTCCAGTCAGCAAGGAATAATCAGTGGGTCGTAAATGCTAAAACTGATATGTTCACAATGATTCAATTAATTTAGCGTTAATCAGTAAAAAAAAAAAAAAATTTTCATTGCAATCACAGTCTGGGAGCGGCCATTTTTAATATTTTTAAATATAGTAATCTCGCCTCACTCCTGCCATCTTCCGGCAGTCATGGTGCGGTAAGCCTAGCACCATTCTCCCATGTGTATGGATGTTGGAATACATCGGGTAAAAGTGGGGGGGAAAGTTATTTCACCTTTCCGATTCATTGTCCTCCACGGACGGGTTCGTCGATGGATTGCCAACTTAATAAAACAGCCGTCTGTGGCAGCAGGCCCCACTTTGGGACCGGCTTACACTCTGGCGGCTTCTCCTTTATCAAAGATCATGTGCTGCGTTAAAAAAAGATGTAGAGGTGTTAACCAATGACCCTCATCAAAGGCCCAGGGAAGAACGGCATCAGCTAAAAGTGAAAAATTAAGCTGATTTTGGTGCCGTTTTCTTTCCTTTTAAATGTCTGTCAGATGATCATTCCATTCAGTGTCGCATTTTGATAGGATTACACTGAAGATGTGAGCCCATGTTAGTGGGAAGTTGTCAGCCTGTGTGACAGTCCGTATGTTTTACCCAATAGAAGCTGTGTAGGTTTAGGTCAGTTTCAGGTTTCCGATCTGCTTCAGTTCATGTTTATACTTCATAAACTGCAGCTCCAATGTCCCGGTTAGATCAGAGTCAGTTATGGTGGTGTGAGTGTCATGGTTTGGGGCTGTGTGTACTGCTGGTCCATCCTGCATTGTCGTGCTTCTCTTTTGCTCTGAAATGTTAGATCTGCAGATCTAGATCATGCAAGTGTAGCACAGAGCTGGCAGCCTTCATTGGTCCCATCTGAAAAGACAAACTCTGGATTTGGTGCTGACCTCATGCTCTCTGCTGCAACCCGTCCAACCTTAGGAAAGTCTTGGTGTTAAAAATAAAATCTTCTCAGCCACCTTCATGAAGGACATTTATTTCAAATCGTTTATCACACATCAGAGCCGTTTACGGCAGATCGTGTTATTTTGAGGGAAATTAAATGAACTAAACTCATTAGCTTTAATGATAGTTTCATAACTTAAAGGTCTCTTTAAATCGTTTACCATACTGTGAAGGTGTACTGACCGTTGTAGGATGCTGTCTGTGATGGGTTGGTTTCTGTCAGTGTAGTTCAAAACAAAACATGTTGGAAAGGATCCATTTCCCTTCCAGCTCTAATGATTTCTCCGGTTTTAAAGTAACTTTATTCTTTAAAATGTCACACTCCTTATGCTAAAACGTATGTTGTAAAAATACTGTCCAGTACTCTGTCGTTATTTCCACATTGTGTGACCACTTCTACTGTAACCTTTTGCTGCTGTAACACAATTTCCCCATTGTGGGACAATAAAGATGTTTTCTATTCTAACCGACTCCTTCTTGTCTTCAGTGCATCCTGCGGTGGTGATCCGGCAGCGGAAGTCGTATCGGCGAAAAGATGGAGTGTTCCTGTACTTTGAAGACAACGCTGGTGTTATAGTCAACAACAAAGGAGAGATGAAAGGTAGGCTTTCTGCTACACAACCGTTTCCTGGTCATTAATCAGCCTCATGGTGGAGCTGTTGAAGATCCAGATTACCCTTCCAAAAGCACTTGCTCTGTCTGCTCGGTGGCGGGGCGAGTTGTCGATGAAGGGAACATTAAATTCACCTCTGTGGGTGAGACGGCGGTGATTCTGTGACTGACTGATCTCAATCAGGGATGAGACAGATTTATTTAGTCGGCGTTCAATGATGTCTGTTTGACCAGCATAACGGTTTGTTTGTGTCTCTGCAGGATCAGCCATCACAGGACCAGTGGCCAAAGAGTGCGCTGACCTGTGGCCCAGGATCGCCTCCAATGCTGGCAGCATAGCCTGAGCAGAACCTGTTTTCAATAAAAACTGTTAATCAAGCCGCTTCTTCTGGTCGTTTAATTCAACCTTGATAGTGGAAAGAACGATGTTGGTCTGCAGAGTTTAAAAACTTCCATCAAACAGGTTCCTCTACTTTCCTTTTAAAACTGTTAAGAGTTCAATTACTTCACTACCACCACTAGATGGTGCTAAAAGGTGACAAACATTTTAGTGAGTGATAAAGCATAAGCTTTGGACTCCCAGCCCCCCCCTTTCCTCAGCTGGTACTAAGAACATATTTGGCTGTTTGGTAAATTTATTGTTGCTGAATACTCAGAAACATGCCTTAACATTTCCACAATAAACAATTTCAATACATGGATAGATAGTAAAATAAGCTGAAAGGCCATTAAAAACAGGCTGAACCCCAGGTGGTTTTATACGGTATAAAGGTAAAGGAGCGCTGTTTAGGAACATTCAGAAACAGAATCTGATGCAAAAAAAAGTGTCCAATGATCAAACCTGTATGTCAGGGATGAAGTTTATGTAACTTAAAAATCAGTGTCATCAATTTACTATGAAACCCTCTGAGGTTAAGGGGAGGGGGGGTAAAAGTGATGGGTGCTAAAATCAATCATAAAGAACAGATCAAATGAGCCAATGCATCATGTAGTGTTGGCCTAATGGTTACAGCAGTGCCAGTGTGCCCTGAGAAGGTTGCAAGTAACCGGTTTGATCCAGCCAAGACCCCATACTGCTCCCTAGGCTCCGCGCAGTGGCAGCCCACTGCTCCCTTAGGGAATGGGTTAAATGCAGAGGTGAATTTCTCCAATGTGAGATCAAAGTTCAATTATTTCCTTGCTTTGTCCTTGACAATGTGATAAAGTTAAATTCTATTTTCCAAATAGATCTCTGAACAGAGAAGATTTTAACGAGGCTCTAGTTAAATGGGGGGGTTGCGGCCTAGTGGTCGGGGCATATAGCTTGGAATCCTGAGTTCAAGTCCCACAGACTGCCACTCTAAGTCTCTGCTCCCTGGGTGCTGCACCATGGCAGCCCACTGCTCTGCAGGGGGAGGGGTTAAATGCAGAGGTGAATTTCTCTCTAAAAACCTGTTCATCAGTGCTGCTTTAAAGAATATATGGTTTTGCATAATATATACATGAAATGGGGGGAGTAAATGTTCACATTTTCAGAATACATGTTAAAATGTTTTCATGCAATCTAACGTAACAGAACTGAAGCTCAGCGTTGCTCAGATCGGTAAACCTGGACTGAAGGTTCATTTTATACTGATCAGGTCAGATGTAGCTCCGCCCACTCCACATGACAATAAAAGGTCATGATAGGATGCAACTTGTTGTCAATCTAAGTATTTTTTAACATTCCCATATGGCTTGTTTTAGTAATTAAAATAGTAAAAATGTATTATGCATTATAATTTCTATAGATTTTTGTTTGTTTTTTTAGCTCCAGAAAAAGGTCTGAAAACCCGAGAAGAGCTAAGCCACCTTTTGGATCAGGATCCTTAAAAGGTGAAAAGAGAAATCATTTTTAATCTGATTACCAACAAAATTAATTTGACCGTCTATTTAGAAAAAACAGATTTAGTTTGGGTAAACTGCAGATTTCTGCGATGCTGCAGCTTCATACTGTGGTTGGTTTCTGCTGTTTCTAACACCTTTTTTAATTCTATTATTAGATTTTTATCTTAGAGACTCTCATTTTATTAATAGATTGCACTTCAAAATGTATCTAAGTGATGTTGAACTTAAAGCTAAATGAAAGTTAAGACATTTCAAACCTAAACAGCTACCTTCTAAATGAGAAATCTACACGAGGACTGACAGACATTCGAAAAGTTATGATTGTTAGAAACTAGTTTCTTTGGGTCCCATTACCTGAAAACTGGAGATTGTAACTGAAAACGGCTAATTTAGGGAATCAGATCTAGTCTAGGAAACTGTCTCCGGCCTAAGTCCTCATCCCTGGGGGCCTCAGTGCGCGTGCTGAGTGTGGGGCTGGGCTGGGGATGCCGTTCGCAGGTGGCATGGGGGTGGGTGTGCCACGTTCCATCCCTGTAGGTGCAGTAACACACAGTCTGCTCATCCATGTTCACGCGCTCTCCTGCTGGGATCACCCGGCTGCCAGCAAAGCAGTTGGGACCTGAGAAAAAAACAGGGGCAGTACGGCAAGGCTTCAGGTCTGCTCCCGAGTTTATGCCAAAAGGAAAACACATCTATAGATTCATAACACATTCATTCATTCAACACATTCATAACTACCAGTTTTAGTCCGTGAGGCAGACACCCTGTCTACTTTTAAGGCTAGGCTTAAAACTTTCATTTTTGATAAAGCTTATAGTTAGGGTGGCTCAGGTTATCCTGAGCTATCTCTATAGTTATGCTGCTATAGGCTTAGACTTTTGGAGGACATAGGGACCCCCATTTCATCATTCTGCTTCATTCTCTCTCTGTTCTCCTATTCTGCAGAATCTGTTAGTTCAATCTCTAACCTTCTGCTCTCTCTGCTTTTCCTCAGAGTAGCTTTGCCTCGTCTGTTCCTGTTTGGCTGTGACGTCATCCTGGAAAAAAACATCAGCTGTGCTGCTTCTATCAACACCCTTGTTAATAGATGTTGGAGATCGGCCTGTTTTCCAGTGTGGTCCTGTTTCTCTGACCGTGACTGAGTGGATGTGCTCTCTTCGTCCTCTGGCATGGGAGCTGCCTTGGAGCTCGTCTGCCTGGCTGTGTGTTTCCTGGACGGGGCCGCCTTTTACAGCTGCTTTTTGTATCTCTGCTTCTGTCTCCTTGAACCCCAGTCGGCCTCAGCAGATGGCCGCTCACACTGAGCCTGGTTCTGCTGGAGGTTTCTTCCTGTTAAAAGGGAGTTTTTCCTCTCCACTGTCGCTACAAGCATGCTTAGTGTTTCCACTTGGAAAGATGTTGGATTTCATCTGGTTTTGAATGACTTTCATCAATATTTCAGCATGATGCGCTGCTTTCTGATATTTTTTTATGTCTTCATGTTCAGTGCAGTTTATTTCTATAGCGCCAATTCACAACACGTCATGTCAAGGCACTTTACAGTTCACCAGATCATACAGTCAACTTGATTCTAAGTTTTGTATCTAAGGAAAACCAGCTGATTGCATCGACTCTTCAGCAATCCCTCACACTAAGCATGCTTGTAGCGACAGTGGAGAGGAAAAACTCCCTTTGAACAGGAAGAAACCTCCAGCAGAACCAGGCTCAGTGTGAGCGGCCATCTGCTGAGGCCCACTGGGGTTCAAGGAGACAGAAGCAGACATAGAAAAAGAAGCAGCTGTAAAAGGCGGCCCCGTCCAGGAAACACACAGCCAGGCAGACGAGCTCGGAGCCAGCTCCCATGTCAGAGGATGAAGAGAGCACATCCATTTAGTCACAGTCAGAGAAACAGGACCACACTGAAAAACAGGCCAAGCTCCAACATCTAGAAATAAAGGTGTTGATGGCAGCAGCACAGCTGATATTTCTCTCCAGGATGGAGTCACAGCCAAACAGGAACAGACCAGATGAAGCTACTATGAGAAAAAGCAGAGAGAGCAGAACGTTAGAGATTGAACTAACAGATTCTGCAGAGTGGGAGAATAGAGATAGAATGAAGCAGAATGATGAAAAAGGGGTCCCTATGTCCTCCAGCAGTCTAGGCCTATAGCAGCAGAACTATAGAGATAGATCAGGATAACCTGAGCCACTCTAACTATAAGCTTTATCAAAAAGGAAAAGTTTTAAGCCTAGCCTTAAAAGTAGACAGGGTGTCTGCCTCACGGACTAAAACTGGTAGTTGGTTCCACAGGAGAGGAGCCTGATAACTAAAAGATCTGCCTCCCATTCTACTTTTAGAAATTCTAGGAACCACTAGTAAACCTGCAGATTGAGAGCGAAGTGCTCTGTTAGGAACATAAGGAACAATCAGATCTCTGATGGAGCTTGGCCATTTTTTTGTAATCACAATCTAAATGGGGGCAGATACACGTGGACAAAATTACTGCATTTCCTGTTTAATGTAAGGAAAACCCACAATGGCCACAGAATTAGACAAAAGAACCATAATTTAATATTTTGTTGCAGAACCTTTAAAGTCCCTCAGTGATTCCTGTTCCTGTCAGTCAGACCTTTGCTCCTCTTCGCAGGTTTTCTGCCTCACTCCTCATCAGTAAACTGCTCCAAGTGTTTCAGGATTGAAGGCTGTCTTCTCCAGACGGCCTGTTTCAGATTCTTCCACAGATGCTCAGTAGGATCTATGTCAGGGCTCCTAGAGGCCACTTCAGCACAGTCCAATGTTTCTGTTTCTAGCTGTGTGTTTCAGCCCATTATCCCGTTAAAGACCCATGACCTGCAACTAAGACCAAGCTTTCTGACTTTAGGCATAGACCCGAGAATCCATTGGGCACTGCAGAGATTCTAGACACCCTGTAGCAGATGAAGCACAGCAGGCCCAGAGTATAACAGAGCCGTCATGTCACCAAACAGCACACTGTCTACCTGTAGATCTATATAATGACCCACTAACTGATTACAAGATTGCAGACACTTGTGATGTTAACAGTGCACACACCTTGAAGCAACATGACCATTTGGTCACATTATTTTGAGTAATTTCCTGGGATAATGCCATCTTTTTGAAACGTGGTTGAAGAGCAATTTCTCAGTTTCATTTTTTTTTATCATAGAATTTGTATCTATTGTTGCTTTTGTCAGATCAGGGTTCTTTTAGTGACTATTGTGAGTTTTTCTTTCATAAAATTTGTCCTGTTTTTGTGTGTATTTTGTTACTGTTACTGTATTTACTTTTCCTTAGCCTCGGTTGGTTTAAGAGGTTTCTGTTTTCTGATAATAAATGAAATGACCATCTGATCAGCACTTTCTGTATTTCCTCTGGTTCTCTTTGATATGAACATTTGTTTGCTGAACATAACCACAGCTTTGACAGAAAAGCAAAATCAGAACAAATCTGTAGATTTAAAGCGTGGATCAAATCTTTTTTATCATTTGCATCTCTCCCTCACAGGTAGAGATTCCTTTTTTGGCAGCTACCTTTGAAACAATTATCAGCAGCAGCCAGAGGGAGGACAGGAAGCTCAGCGGGTCTGATGCCAAATCCCACTGCGTGCACTAAGACACAGCTGACACAAGGGAAACTGGAGCAATGACAAAACAAGCAAAAAAAATAATGACGCAACAAACTAAACCATCTGTTACTCTGTCTGTCCAGGGGTAACTAGAGGTTACAAATTCAATCTGTCCAAAACAAATGAAAACAACATTTACGGTCCGTGATCCAGCAGAGAGGTCATAATTCAGTTTTCTGCAAACTGAAATTAGAAAAATGGGAATGCAACAGTGCAAAATGCTTACATTTCAGCTCCTGCTTTGCAACAGACACACACTAATTCCACCAATATCTAAGAGGGACTTAAAGGCTGCTGGAGCATAAATGACATAACAGGGAAGCTTCTGTAAGCTGCAGGGAGAGGAAAGTGACGTAGGCAGTGCTGCAGGGTGAACACTCACACAACAGCAGCAAACTAACAAGAGGCGGGGGCTCCTGCTTTGGCATCAGAGTGAGAACTGTTTGACTATTTTGCTGGTTTTCATTTGCTTTTTCTGCTAACAGTTATATTCAGGACAAAGGAGTAGGGTTGGGCAATGAATTGCATTTGCAATAAAATAACAATTTAATAAGATGCAATTTTTAAATTGCAGAGACTCAATTTTAGCCTCATTACACTTAACAAAAATAAAACTCAAAATGTCTCACTCCAGGTCTTTAGGTAGCAGTAAAATACTTAATGGGGGTCGAAGCCACACAGAAAGGCCGACAGAGGAGCAGCTCCCATGCAGATCCATCCATGCAACTAGAAGTAGCTCATAGTAGCTTTGCCTCGTCTGTTCCGTTTGGCTGTGACTCCATCCTGGAGAGAAATGTCAGCTGTGCTGCTGCCATCAACACCTTTGTTTATAGATGTTGGAGATCAACCTGTTTTTCAGTGTAGTCCTGTTTCTCTGACTGTGACTAACTGGATGTGCTCTCTTCATCCTCTGACATGGGAGCTGGCTCGGAGCTCGTCTGCCTGGCTGTGTGTTTCCTGGACGGGGCCGCCTTTTACAGCTGCTTCTTTTTCTGTCTGCTTCTGTCTCCTTGAACCCCAGTCGGCCTCAGCAGATGGCCGCTCACACTGAGCCTGGTTCTGCTGGAGGTTTCTTCCTGTTAAAGGGGAGTTTTTCCTCTCCACTGTCGCTACAAGCATGCTTAGTGTGAGGGATTGTATTTGAGTCAATGAATCAGTGCAATCAACTGGTTTTCCTTAGAAGGAAACTTTGAATCAATCTGACTGGATGATCTGGTGAACTGTAAAGTGCCTTGAGATGACTTGTGTTGTGAATTGGCCATATAGAAATAAACTGAATTGCATTGAATAGAAGTAAGCACTTTTTTTACACAAACGTTACATTAAAATCATGCAACAATGGGTCCTTTCAAGTAGGCTCTCAAAAACTGAAAGTCCGCAAAGAAACACCTACAAGCTTTGGGTTAGTGTGAAGAGAAATCGAAATAAAATCTCAATTTTCTCACAAACGCAGGATGCAATGAAGACATGAAAGCGTTGTTTAGCACAAGGAGTGCGACATTTTAAAGAATAAAGTCACTTTAAAGGAAACTATGAAAGTCATTAGAGGTAATAACGGATCATTTCCAGCTGGTTCTGATCAACATGTTCTGTTCTAAACTAGATACACTGCTAGTTTAGTGTGGGTCTGCACTGGTAATGATACACCAATTTATTTTACCCCTGAGGTTTAGGCTTATTCACAGGGCAACACTCTCAAAGTGGGGGTCGACACACCCTGGGGGGCGTCACCAAGTGATCCCAGGATTATTTTTAAAAACATTATAATATGACCCCTGAGGTAAATAAAGCATCAAAATACATAAATATTAATGTGCTATAAAATAAATTGGTGTATCATGAAATAATAATTTGTGTGTTTATTTATTTATCTAATACGTGATTCAGGTAATAAACATTCTGTTAAATTTCAAAATAAACAACTAAACAATGAAATGTCCCAGTACAATTATAAAGAATACATTTAATAGATTAATCAAATCAGTAACTATAGTAAAATTTTATTACTAAGTTTTATATATATAAATACATATAGTGTGAAGTAATTATTTGAATTTTTTAGGGATTGGGAGTCTGTTGTTATTTACTTTAGAGATAATGATGCAATGAATTTTTTTAATATTCACTTCTTATTAAACTGCAACTCTTTCTGGATGTATAATCACTTAATTCAAGTGTTAGGATCATTTTAAATGGCCATGCAGCGGCAAGGGCGTAGGATTGATTTCCACTTTGGTAGGGACACTATTGGTCCTAAGATTCATTAATGTCATTTTAAATATGCAGAAATATGCATGCTTTTTTATGCTTGAAGTAAGCATCAAGCATTTCGTTTAAAGAGAAAAGCAGCATTTCTTGCTACATTTATACTAATTTTATAAGCACTACACGCACTAGATGCTGTTCATCAATGTTTAAAACATCACTGGCTCTGATCAATGTGGAATTAGGACTTTTTTCCACTTTGAAAAGGTTTGCATTTAAACTAAGCAGTGACTAAGACAGTAGGTAAATATGTGCCAGTTTAACCAATTTTATATGTGGATTTATCCTGTATTTTCTTTTAAAGATATATAATTGTGCAAAGGTAAACAGGTGAAACACACTCTTATTTTTTTAAATGCTCTCCGTATCATGAACCAATGCAAAATAACACATTCAAGGGATGCAAATACATTTATTGTATTTACATTTAGTGGCATCATCTAAAAACACAAGACTAAGAACGAGACTAAATTTATTCCAATATAAAATCACTTTTAACAATTATTAAAGGAAAATATAACACCATCTTGTCTGTAATGTAATAATATCCTTAATGAACAGCCGGATTCAAGCATTTTTACCAAACACTAATGTTTGTACTAATTAACTTATGGACTGTTTGGAAATCTATGTAAAATAAAATCAATGTAAATAGTGTTCCTCTGTTTGTTATTGGCTTTATCCTATTTTTAAAAGTAGAAATACTCAAAGAAATATCAACATTATGTGGAACAGTAATTATGCTTTCTAAACAAAAAATAGCAGAGGTTTAGGAGCCATCTCGTTTTGTTATACTCTATAAAAGAAATAACACCTGCTATTTATAGCTGAACTGCCTCAAAGGTTCATCATAAAATGAAAACAGTATTTGCAATAAATTATTGTTAAAAGGGAAACCCTCACATTTTCTTTTTCAGTCGGCTGTGGCTAAGAATCAGCAATCAGCAGCTTTGCAGCTATGTTTTTCAGCTGAGCAGGTTGTTTTTCTTTTTAAATGACTTTTCATAATCTGTCCAAGTAAAATTTGGGAAATTGTTTACATTCATTAAGCACAGAGACAGGAGTAAAGAAAATCTGCACAGATCAGGATCTGCTCACCCTGCGTAGTCAGAGTCTCTATTCACAGTGCAGTCAGTGTAACATGGAAAAAATTGAATCAAAGATTAAAAGTCATTCAAAATTGTTTCAGTTGAAACAGGAAAGAAAGAATTCTTCAGAGAGTAAAAAAAATTCCAGAAATCCCAGAGCATTCGGCGCATCATTGTATTCAGTTAGAGGCCCCAGATCCACTGCAAGACAGAGAACTACCTGAAATCCTTCCTGCCTTAAGCCTACAGGAACTATAATGGCTCTATGAGGAAATTTGGATCAGAAGAAACAACATTTCTTTTCCCATTTGGCAGTAATGAGAAAAGTTAACTGAAATGAATGATCAACGCTATTTTGCGCAACATAAAATATCCTCCATGGAGGATGAAGCCTCTTCAGGTTATTCATGGGAAAGCAAACTATTTTTGTAAAACGGCTTCTATGTTTATTGTCTAATTGTTTAATCCCTTGTTTCCCTTGAGAATCATTTGGTTTTGTTGGCAGCGAGTCGAACAAACTCCGGGCTGCCCGTAGCATTTCCTAAAGACTTGCGACACTTTGTGCTGAACGAGTCTTACCAGTCTTACAGATGGGACAGCAGTGGTTGGGCTCATAGGTGGGGTTAACGCAGTGAGGAGCCGGGCACTCAGAAATGCTGCAGTAAACCTCTCTGTTGGCCTCGCAGCGGCACCACTCACACCACGATACCTGAAAGGAATTAAACATTTCATCAATGTTAACTTTATTTTAAGGTTATATAGCATATAAACTCCAACCTTGGTTGTTTTGAGGGACGAGTTTGAATAATTGTTACTCTTCTTATAATTATTAAATAATTAATTCCTTCATTCATTTGTTTCTCACCTTTGGTGTCGCCATTATTCAAGCATTTTTATGTGATGGAAAAAAAATTGCAAACAGCTTGGTTTGCATTATATCCTGGTTTTATATTTTCACATCAAAAACAGGATTGGTTTTAACATCCTCGTCATTTATAAAATATCCTAATTACTTCTCGATATTTTCAGATTTGCTTAGTTTTGGTAAATTCTAAAAAAAAAAAAAAATCTTTATTCCTTATTTTTTTTATAACATCAAACATTCTTTCTTAAACTTCTATTAATGAAGGTATTTTCTTTGTGTTAGGAATCCAGTTTGTGTGGGTTGTTTGTGTGTTTTTCTCTCTCCACCACCAGGTGGTGCCCTGTCCTCGTTGGCCCTCCTTCACACCTGAGGAGTATTTGAGCAGGGGACTGTCACTACCTCGGCACCAGAGTCGTTTCCTGTTTCACTCCATATCAGTTGGTGGCGGTAATGCACTTCTCACTAGTTTGCCAACCACCATAAAACTTCACCAGAAGTAAAAGAAGTACCTCAGCGCCAAAGTGTTTGCCAGTTTTAGGTACTCTAGCCAAGCGGGGATTAGCTGAGTCTAACCTGAGCCTTTATTTCTCTGAGTCTAACATTGTTTTTGTCTTTGCTCTTCGGCAGGAAGCCTTCCTGTGTAACTGGATGCCTGGCCTTCTCCCCCTGGAAGGATTAACTGAGTTCACACTGAGCAGGGGAAAACATCCACATGTGCCATTCAAGTCCCTTTCGGAGATCCAAGTGACAGTCCGCTCCATTGCTCCTCCGGGTCCAACAAATGTCTACCTGTCCGCTCTCCAACGAGTTCTCTCTTCTCTGGATAAACCCAAACTGACTGGATTCAAGGATTAACAAGAACCCCCTCAGACTTGAGTCCCACTCCATCAGTTTTCAAGCCTCAGTCAAGTTTCCTACGGTCCATTAAGATTTAAACCACTGTAAAAATAAAAAGTTTTAATAATCAATTATCCATCAAATGTTCCAGCCATCAGGACATTATATACTTTTTTGTGTCCATCTACAAACTCAGACCTTAGACAAGCAAGATGGCTGCCAGTCAGCAATTGAAATAGGATTGTTTAAAGGTCTTCCAAGCACAGTTTTGGGGGTTAGGTCGTTACCAAAGTAAGAATGAAATTTTGTTTATTATGTAAAGTTATAAACTTTGTGGAAATGTTCAAGGATAAAAGGCCTGAAATGTGAAAACAAACAGTAGAAGCTCTGAACCTTTCATGCTATGAGCGGCACCACATCATGAGGCCGTTTGGACACAACCTGAACGGAGCAAAGGTTTTATTACAAATCAATTCAATTCAGTTTATTTCTTTAGCACCAATTCACAAAACATGTCATCTCAAGGCACTTTACAACTCAACCAGATCACACAGTCAAATTGATCAATATTTAGAATGAAATAAAGTTGAGGAAAGTGTTTGAATGGCTTATAAGTTTCAGATATTTCCTCGCAGTCCTTAAAAGTGAAAAAGAGGCAGCTTCAAACTGTTTGAAGGCAGCTGAAAGGAGACATTATCACAAATAGCAGGACAACTTTTACTGCTGTTTATAATCACCTCTGGATATAAGTTCATATTTTCCTCTCTCTCTGGTTCTGATGCAACACTGAGATCTTTAGCATGATCCGGTGTAGCTACCAGATCTGCTGGGGTCCTGCTTCATGCCAGTTACGTTCGCTACATGATTGGCTGAACGTTGCCACATGATGATGTGGTTTCTCAGACAACGATAATAACATCACACAATGTCCGCGTTACCTGATTGATAACAGAACTGAAAAAAATCTGCCTTTAAGTCTGGTGACAAAGAGGCATTGAGGACAGCGAGAGCCAACTTAAACCATACCACCAGATCAGTGAAACAGAACCACAGAAAGAAGATCCAGGATATTTTTCACAACACCAGCAGCATGTGGCAAGGCATACAGGTGATTAGTGACTGCATCATACCCTCCCCCCGGTGGGTGTAGCTGATGCTGGCTTCCTAAATGGACTAAATAACTTCTTTGGAAGGATTTGTGGCACTAAACGGCACTGCAGCAATGAAAGCCGTTCCACGTCAGGGAGAGGAAGCACTCAACCCTGACACATCGAACATGTGATACTCTGTGGAGAGTCAAACCATGGAAGGCCCCAGGCCTCGATAACTTACCTGGGCGGGTGTATAAGGAGTGTGCAGATCTACCGGCTGGTGTCCTTACAGACATCTTTAACACCTCGCTGGACCAATCCATAGTGCCAACATGCTTCAAGTCTGCCACTATTATTCCAGTCCCAAAGAAGCCTCAGGTCACCTCACTAAATGATTACCGGCCTGTCGCACTGACTCCCATCATGATGAAGTGCTTCCAAAGGCTGGTTAAAGAACACACCATCTCCAGTCTCCCCCAAACATTCGACCTCTACCAATTTACCTACCAATGAAACCGCTCCACTGAGGACGCCATCTCCTCTGCTCTCCACATGAGCCTGGCACACCTGGAGGAGAAGAAAAAACCGACATGCAGATGCTGTTCCTGGGTTCTAGTTCAGCTTTCAACACCATCATTCCACAGCATCTGATGGGTAAACTGGAACAGCTGGGCTTCAATTCAATACACCCCTTTGCAATTGGCTGTTAAACTTCCTCACCAACAGACCTCAGTCGGTACAGGTCAGAAACCTCTGATGTCATCATCCTAAGCACAGGCTCCCCTCAGTCCTGACCCCCCTGATGTTCACCCTGAAGACACATGACTGCGTCCCCAGGTTCACCACCAATCACATGGTGAAGTTTGCAGACGACACCACGGTGGTGGGCCTCATCAGAGACGACAACGACCAGAACTACAGAGAGGAGGTGGAGCAGCTGGTTCGCTGGTGCAGAGATAACAGCCTCACCTGATCTGTGAACACCACCTCCTCCCCACCTTCTACAGAAGCACCATAGAGAGCGTTCCGACCAGCTGTCTCACTGTGTGGTGTGGAGGCTGCAGTGCCTCAGACTGGAAGAAGGTGAGAACAGCAGAGAGGATCATGGGGGCTCCTCTTCCCTCCCATAAAGACATTTCATCCCAGCGCTGCATGTCCCGAGCCCGTGACATCATCAATGACCCCTCACCCCCCCACCATGGACTGTTCTCCCTGCTGCCCTCTGGGAAGAAGCTTCACAGCATTCAATGCAGGTCCAGCAGATTCTGCAACGGCTTCTTCCCAACCGCCATCAGACAGTTGAACTGTTGAAACTCTAATCAAGTTTGTTCTGTTTAAATGTTGTTTTGAGTTTTCAGATACACCTAGATTCATGTCATTCTGTGTTTCCTGGTCAATGGTTTCATTTTAATTTTGTGTCATTTTAGATGTTTTCTGGTTGTATTTTTGAGTTCTTATGTATTTCTTGTTTACTCTCTGTCGCACCCTTGTGTCAGTCTTCTTTCCTAGCTCCTGTCTAGATCCTTCTGTCCACACCTGCTCCCAATCAGTTGATTAGGCCATTCTATGTTCTGTTGACATACTCAATCCTGCAGTTACAGTTTCTGGATTCTCCTTATTGCCTACTTAGACATTGGCTACGTTCACACTGCAGGCCTTGGTGGAAGTAAACATGGATGGTAGTGCCAGCGCGCATCTAGCGATCTTTTCCAACCATAAAAACTCAATCTTTTCAATATGGTTAAACATGAATGCTGCCCTCTGACTTATCGTCCGCCATGGTTGTTGTTTTTCTTGCTGCTTCTGTGTAGCAAGACACAGAATAGTGACCTTTGTGTCAGGAATCCAGTTTGTGTGGTCTGTTGTTTGTGTTTGTCTCCCCCTTCACCACCAGGTGGCGCCCTGTCCTCGTTGGTCCTCCCTGCACACCTGCGTCTCGTTGGATCATTATCTGGAGGAGTACTTAAGCCATGGACTGTCACTACCTCGAGGCCAGAGTGTTTGCCAGTTTGGGTACTCTAGCCATGCTGAGATTAGCTGAGTCTAACCTGAGTCTTTGTTTCACTGAGCCTAACTTTGTTTTTGTCTTTGCCTTTCGGCAGGAAGCCATCCTGCAAGCTGGATGTTTGGCCTTCTTCCCCTGGAAGGCTTGTTTTGTGTTTCACACTGAGCAGGGGATTAACCTCCACACGTCTCATTCAAGTTCTGGAATTCCAAGTTGCAGTCCGCTCTATTGCTCCAACGACTCCCTTCTTCTCTGGATCAACCCACACTGACTGGATTTCAAAGTGAGAGAAGAACCCCTCCAGACTTGAGTCCCTCACTAGCATTAACCTTGTGGCATCCAACATTCCCACGGTCCATGAACTAATCTTTGTGATATCCTCTCCAGACTTTCTAGTTCCTGTACACCAGCTCTCTGAGTTCCCCTGCATCCAACCCATTTGAGCTCCTCAATAAACCTTTTGAACTTGTACTCTGGTTTCCCTGAGTGGTTTTCTGCATGTGGGTCAGATCTCTTAAAGCTGCAGTCTGTAACATTGAGAAGAGAGCAGACTTCGACTGAAAATTTGAAGAAAAACAGGTTTCAAGCCACTCCCCCACCCTCTCTGCTTCACTCATGCCCCACCTCCAAGCTCCACCCCTCTCACAGCATCTGCGCGGCATGGACTGTGAACCGGTAAGAGCGATAATACTCACCTCCAAGCAGCTAGATATAAGATGCTGGTTATACCGAAGTTTGCCGTGTAAGCAGTTGTCGGCAGGGGCAGTAAGGGCAGTTTGTCTTTCGCTGGTGGCTGTCGCTCCGCCATGACTTCCACGCGCGTCCTCCTGACTGCAGCAGCGGCAGGTTAAGCGGTGAGGGTGGGGGAATCAGAGTGTGTGAGCTGTGATTGACACTCCATCAGACGCTCCTCTGGCTGTGATTGGTTGTTTTGACTCGTCCCGATTATTATCTCCAGATTGAAATACAGGCAGTATGCGGGACCAATTGAAGCAGTTTTTTTCACAGGTTACATATCACATGTACTGCTGTCTGGGCATAGGGACAGTTTTAGCCAATATGACAAAAAAGGGATTTTTAAAAACTTACAGACTTCAGCTTTAAATACATCATGACACTTTGTCGAGTATTAATGGCGTTCAGGTCGAATGAATGCGACCTCACACACTGGTCACATTTGAAAAGATCAGATTCGTATCGGATTCAGGACCACAGAGCCAAGTGGCCTGGGTCGCATTGGAAAAAATCGGATCTGTGTTTTTCAGACTGCCATGAAAACATCAGATCCAGGTCGCATTTGGGCTAAAAAATCAGATTTGGGTCACTTCAGGCTGCATTGTGAACATAGCCTTAGACAACTTTTATTGTGATTTTGTATACATAAGTGCATACAAAACAAAATTTCGTTTAGTACAGCTTTCCAGATAATAAATGAACATTTCCATTCCATAAAGTACTGCAGTGATCAAATGTAAACAGTGTGGGAGAAAAAACATGTTGCAAAAAATGCATTGATATGGAATTTCAGAGCATTAATATATATGGTGCAAATAAGCAGTATTTTGGTTTGGTGTTATCAGTGTGATGCAGAGTCTGTGACATGATTTAGAGTTTTTTCAACAGTTAAGATGTCTGATGGCGGTGGGGAAGAAGCTGTTGCAGAATGAATTAAATAGCAGGAAGAACTGCCCATATTGGCGGTGTGAGGGGTCATTGACCGATGTGTTCCCCTTTTTTTCTGCTTTCTGTATTCCTTGATCAGTTATTTCTGATCAGTTATTATGCTTCTGTTGCCCCAATTAAATATTAAATCTGCAAGAAATCACCTCGGCTTCTGTCTCTGCATTTGGGTCCTCAACAAACCTTCACACAACGTGACAGGAGGCTGTCACGTTGTGTGAAGGTGACCAGTGAGTGTGCAACAGGTAAGGATATGAGTGAGGATGAGGAAAAAAAATATTGGTACGAGTCGTGAAGATACGAATATTTCAGTCTGAGAGAGAAGACAATGAATAGGAAAGTGATGAAGGAGAAGGAGGTTTTTCCAACTGAACCCTTCTGATAAGTGTTTATTCTCTGCATATATTGCAGATGTTAGATTTTAATATGTGATTGAGACGTTTTGCGTCAGCTCAGCAATAGGAGCTGCTGAAACTGACGGCTGAAATCACTGCTATTTTTTGGATGTTTGGTTTATGTGAGAGATTTAGGTCCAGCATTACCACCCAGCCTGGACAGTTGTTGTCTCCTTATACAGGGAAGCTGGTCAAAGCTTAGAGGAGGATGACAGAGATCATTTATAGACCACCATGGAAGAAAAGCTGCACAAAAACCTGAGAACACACCAAAACTTCCAGCTAAAATAAGATGGTTTAGATCAAAGCAGATTGATGTGGCCTAGTCAAAGCAAACTTAATCTGTACGAAAATAATTTAACAACTATCTCTGTACAGTCTGTGTAAATAATTTTGATTTTCTGTTGTTATTAAAATGGCAAATACAACTTCTTTTTTTCTTTTCTTTTTTGATTAATCTTTTGTGGTCTCAATATAAAAACGCTTCAAAATCATGTGTGAACCCATGAATGAAATGCCACAAAGTGTTTTTAATCCAAGAGGTTAGATTAGATTCTGGGAAGACTTTACTGCTGATGTCAACAGGTAAGGAGATGGAGAGGCGCGCGCCCTGGCAGGATGCTGAGCTGCAGGGATGGAGAAGTTAGTGACCGTCTCACCCTGAACTCCTCCAGCAGTCTGTAGGTTCTCCCTCCGTAGACGCAGACCCTGGCCACGGCCTCACACACGGGGCAGCATTCCTTATACTTGATCCGCGTGCAGCGCGGGTGGATGCGGGGACACCGTGGCCGGACGCACACGGGGCCATCCACTGTGCACGTGCACGGGCACGCCGTGGGGCTCGGGTAGTAAACCTCTCCGATGCTGTACACGAACCCGTGGTCGTCAATGCACCACTTGCCTCTGTAGTCTCCGAACTCGTAGTCCGGCTCGCTTTTGGTGGAGAACTCTGCCGCGAGCTCGCGCAGCGGCGGAACAAGCAGCAGCGCCGCGAGCGCGATGGAGAGGCCAGAGAGCGCGCGATTCACCATGGTGACCAGTTTCCTCTGAAGTTAGCGGCTTGTTCCGCTGCTTAGATGCCGCCAGCGTCTCCTCCCATCATTAGGGCGGCGGTGACGCCCATGTGCGCGTCACTGTCGCGCCGCGTCCTGCTGAAGGATGGATCCACTGGATGAAGATCCAACTAAACTTAGAAGGAAATTGACTTCTTCTGTGACGTTTGAAACAATCTGCTGATCAAGTAAATAAAAATAAATGAATATTATTGTTTCAACTTTCTTCTTAATTTGTCAGGTTCAGACCACAAGTTGGACAAATCTGACAAAGTTTGTCAGATTTTCTCGTTAACAAAATGGGTCTAGTTCACAGTTGAGAAACTGAAGAAAAATGACTCAAATATTTATAGTTTTGATCAGAGCTTGTTCCCAATTAACCTGCATATATATATATATATATATATATATATATATATATATATATATATATATATATATATATATATATATATATGCCAAAGAAGGCCGAGGGCTAGTGAGTGTCAAGACCACTGTCCAGGATGAAACAACTAAGATCCAGGAGTACATCAGAAAGATGGCCCCCAAAGACAAATGGCTTGGTAAATACCTCAGGCAGGAGAAAACCGAAAGTGAGGACAAGAAAGAGGAAGGAGAGAACCATCATGGAGGGACAAGCCGCTGCACGGCGTGTACCACAGACAAATAGAAGAAGTGGCTGATATCAAAAAATCCTACCAGTGGCTGGAAAAGGCTGGACTGAAGGACAGCACAGAGGCACTAATCATGGCAGCACAAGAACAGGCACTCAGTACAAGATCAATAGAGGCCAGGGTCTACTACACCAGGCAGGACCCCCGATGCAGACTGTGCAAAGATGCCTCTGAAACAATACAGCACATAACAGCAGGGTGTAAAATGCAGGCAGGAAGTGCATACATGGAACGCCACAACCAGGTAGCATCTGCCGTGAGTATGGGCTGGAAGTCCCAAGGTCAAAATGGAAGACACCTCCTAAGGTAGTTGAGAATGACCGAGCTAAGATCCTATGGGACTTCAAGATCCAGACTGACAAACAGGTGATGGCTAACCAACCAGACATCGTGTTGATCGACAAACAGCAGAAGAAGGCAGTAGTGATAGATGTGGCAATCCCAAGCGACAGCAACATCAAGAAGAAAGAACACGAGAAGCTTGAGAAATACCAAGGACTGAAGGAGGAGCTAGAAAAGATGTGGAAAGTGAGAGCGGCAGTGGTGCCAGTGGTAATTGGAGCACTGGGGGCTGTGACCCCCAAACTGGGAGAGTGGCTACAGCAGATTCCAGGTAAAACATCAGAGGTCTCTGTCCAGAAGAGCGCCGTCCTAGGAACAGCTAAGATACTGCGCAGAACCCTCAAACTCCCAGGCCTCTGGTAGAGGACCCGAGCTTGAGGATGACACATACCACCCCACGAGGGGTGAGAAAACTGTTTTTTTTACCAGAGGCCTGGGAGCTTGAGGGTTCTGCCAGCATCTTAGCTGTTCCTAGAACTGCACTCCTACGGACCAAGATGTCTGATGCATTTCCAGGGATCTGCTGTAACCACTCCTCCAGTTTGGGGGTCACTGCCTCGAGGGCCCCATGACCACGGGTACCACTGATGCCTGACCTTCCATGTTTTCTCCAGCTCTTCTCTCAACCCCTGGTATTTCTCTAGTTTATCATGTTCCTTTTGGTTTGCCATTTCCATTCAGTCCGTCTGTATCTGGAAGTCCCACAGGATCTATGCTCTGTCATTCTCTACCATCTTTGGAGGTGTTTCCCACTTTGACCTTGCGGTTTCCAGCCCACACTCTGCACAGATGTTCCTGTACACTATTCCAGCCTTTTGGTTATGGCGCTCATTGCATCTTTCCCTGCAGTTATGTGGCGGATTGTCTCATGGGCCTCTTTGTATATACACTATATTGCCAAAAGTATTTGCTCACCTGCCTTGACTCACATATGAGCTTAAGTGACATCCCGTTCCTAATCCATAGGGTTCAATATGACGTCGGTCCACCCTTTGCAGCTAGAACAGCTTCAACTCTTCTGGGAAGGCTGTCCACAAGGTTTAGGAGTGTGTTTATGGGAATTTTTGACCATTCTTCCAGAAGCGCATTTGTGAGGTCGCACACTGATGTTGGACGAGAAGGCCTGGCTCTCAGTCTCCGCTCTAATTCATCCCAAAGGTGTTCTATCGGGTTGAGGTCAGGACTCTGTGCAGGCCAGTCAAGTTCATCCACACCAGACTCTGTCATCCATGTCTTTATGGACCTTGCTTTGTGCACTGGTGCACAGTCATGTTGGAAGAGGAAGGGGCCAGCTCCAAACTGTTCCCACAAAGTTGGGAGCATGGAATTGTCCAAAATGTCTTGGTATGCTGAAGCATTCAGAGTTCCTTTCACTGGAACTAAGGGGCCAAGCCCAGCTCCTGAAAAACAACCCCACACCATAATCCCCCCTCCACCAAACTTTACACTTGGCACAATGCAGTCAGACAAGTACCGTTCTCCTGGCAACCGCCAAACCCAGACCCGTCCATCAGATTGCCAGATGGAGAAGCGCGATTCGTCACTCCAGAGAACGCGTCTCCACTGCTCTAGAGTCCAGTGGCGGCGTGCTTTACACCACCGCATCCGACGCTTTGCATTGCACTTGGTGATGTATGGCTTGGATGCAGCTGCTCGACCATGGAAACCCATTCCATGAAGCTCTCTGCGCACTGTTCTTGAGCTAATCTGAAGGCCACATGAAGTTTGGAGGTCTGTAGTGATTGACTCTGCAGAAAGTTGGCGACCTCTTCGCACTATGCGCGTCAGCATCCGCTGACCCCGCTCCGTCAGTTTACGTGGCCTACCACTTCGTGGCTGAGTTGCTGTCGTTCCCAAACACTTCCATTTTCTTATAATACAGCTGACAGTTGACTGTGGAATATTTAGGAGCGAGGAAATTTCACGACTGGATTTGTTGCACAGGTGGCATCCTATCACAGTTCCACGCTGGAATTCACTGAGCTCCTGAGAGCGACCCATTCTTTCACAAATGTTTGTAAAAACAGTCTGCATGCCTAGGTGCTTGAATTTATACACCTGTGGCCATGGAAGTGATTGGAACACCTGATTCCAATAATTTGGATGGGTGAGCAAATACTTTTGGCAATATAGTGTATATATGTTCTTTGTTGACCTGCAATATCCGTCTATGCCTCTGGGGCATAGACCAGGTTTGGGTTCTTTGTTAGCCCTTAAATGACTCCCCATCCCAAAGGGGCGGACCCTCATCCGGTTCAATTTGCATGCTTTCTAAACCAAAACAAGGCTTTGTTTTTGGCCCAATCTATAAAGCCTCAAATTCAAAGTTATTTCTGACATTTTGAATTGAAAAATCTTCAAACTTGGAAACAAAGTCCAGTAGATTGTTTTATAACTCTTTTGTAATGACAGTGACCCGGATGACTGAGAATCTTCACCAGCATGTTCAAACTAAATCCAAAGTCATCTATCTGCCTCCTTTTTTTGTGAAATAAATGTTGGGGAATAATTCAGATTCAAAGCACCAAACAGTCCAACACTAAACTAAATGTAAGGATTTAATTTTATGGGTTTTATTTTACATGTTCAGGATAAAAAATGAATTAGTGTAAATGTTTTGATTTGTATTCATTTATTTTCTGTCATCTTTTTGTATGAACCATACAGCAATCCTGAGCTGAGCTGTTTCCATCTGAATACACAGAGCTGTTTTATCTCGTTAGTCATCATACATTCATTCCTTAATGCAAAATGGGAGATATTAGTTGCATTTATACCTGATTTTTCCCTTGTTTTTGCCACATATTTGACATTTGTCAACCTCACATGCATCTCAGCTCTCAACCTATTCAGGGGCGGATCTAGATGGGAGGGCAGGGGTGGCCATGGTCAATCACTGGCCCCCGCTGCCATTTTTCCTCTCTAATACAGACCATGGCAGCAGTAATACTTTCAGGTGGAATGTTCTAATTTATTTAATATTTCAGTTTTTCATGTATTAACAACAAACCAACATTAGGCATACTTTGGTTTATTAATCACATCAATATACTAATATTAAAGATGACAAATACAGAATGAAAGCTCTTTTCACAATTAGCTTTTGTGTTTCACGCGGTAAAGAGAAAATAATTAAAGTCTTCAATGAAATCTGAGATTAATACAAAATACAAACATGTAGTACTTCCAGCAGGTGGAGGATGAAGATGATGAAGGCTGGTCTAAGGAAGTATGCTGGTGAAGATACTCAGTCTTCCAGGTCATAGTCATTCTAAAGAAGTTTAAAAATAATCCACTGAAGACGTTTCGCTTCCCATCCAGGAAGCTTTTTCAATTGAAAATGTCAAAAATAGTGGTGAGTTCGAGGTTTTATACAGTAGCCCAACAAAGTCTTATTTTGGGTTGGAAAACATGCAAATTGAAACGGACGAATGTGTTCATCCCTTTGGAATGGGGGTCGTTTGGCTTCTTTGTTAGCCTGCAATGCTCCATACCTGTCTGTCTCTAAAGTGGGGGTTGTTAAAGGGAATTGTTGGCCTGGCTGAACAGGTGAGGTCTTTTGTTTCCCTGTGAGGAGGTGATGGTTGCGATGATAGCGGGAAGGAATCAACTCAATTACTGCATCTCAGAAACTTAAACAGTTTTTCTCTACAGACTCGCTGTAGTTCCTTCTTTGACCTCAGAAGCTAAACAGGTCCTGGTTCTGAACCTGCTGACTATATTCCTCTGATCAGGCAGTAACTTTCTGCAATGTCTTGAATCAGAGGAAGCGGTGCCTCGAAAAATTCCCAGGCTATGATTTTAAAATGGTTTGTACTTCTCTATTGATCTTTGTACTATTAACACAACCTGGGTTGTCTTAATTACCATTTGGAGGTTTAGGGCTGAACAATTTTATTTCAGTTTTTCTTCGCACTAACCCCAAACATGTAGATGTTTCACTCTAGGCTTTATTTCAAAGCT